AGTCAGGAAGCTGAGCTCTGAGGATCATGGTTCAAAGCCAGCCCAGGCAGGGAAAGTCCATGAAACTCTTCTCTCCAATAAACCACCAGAAAACCAGAAGTGGTGCTGTGGCTCAAGTGCCTTGAGCTGAAGAGCTGAGGGACAGCGCCGAGGCCCAGAGTTCAAGCACCACTACAAAAAGAAAAAGACAGAAGACAGCTTTGAATGATGGAAGTAGGGAGCTGGAGGTACAGGAGGGTGCTGGCTCTGGGAAGAGGAAAGAGCTGTCTGCTGGAGGGTAGGGATTATCAAAAAGACTGAAAGTGCCCATGTCAGAAGTAGAGATGAGTCCTCGTGGTAGAGTTCTTGAGCTTCTGTGTTGAGCTTCTCTTGATGGAAGAAGCAATGAGCACCTCAGAAAGTTCCTGGTCTTTTCTAATACTTGCCTGCAAGTCCACATCTCTCTTTTTTTTTTTTTTCTTTTGGGGTCTGGTCATGGGACTTGAACTCTGGGCGCTGTCCCTCAGCTCTTCAGCTCAAGGCTAGCGCTCTACTACTTGAGCCACAGTGCCACTTCTGGCTTTTTGCTTTTTGCTTATGTGGTGCTGGGGAATGGAACCCAGGGCCTCAGGCATGCAAGGCATGCGCTCTACCACTGAGCCACCTTCCAAGCCCATACATCCTTAGCTTTAACTTCTCAGAATCATCATCCAAATCTTCCTAATTGTAGCTACACCCAACCCATCCACACCCACTGATCTGGACAGGGTCCAAGAAGCATCCTGGCTGGTCGCCCAGCAGTAGCCAGCAGCCCCTGAAAAGCTTAGATCCCAGGTCCCAGGAGATACCACGACAAAATCATGGGACATAGCTCTCACATGCAAACACGCATGGTAGCGGGAGCCTAGAAGCCTCCTGGCATTGTCTCAGGCTTGGTTAACAGTTCTCAGACTCCTTGGATTCTCTCTCAGGCTCAAATGGCCAGTCATCATGTCTCTTGCTACCAAGGCTGACTCAGAGCAGCTATAGGACAGAGTCTAAGGATGAGGGTACATCTGTGGCCTCCAAGTCTCCCAAAGAAGAGAAAACAGTCATAAGAAGATTCTGGCCCTGCGCCCTCATTTGAGTTTGTAGAATTATGGGTTCTAGTGGCAGGACTGGGATCAGAACCCAAGAACCTATGTTCTAGGCCAGGTTTCCTTACACCAGGCCTATTCTGATGACCTGACTCTCTGTGGTTCTTTCTTCCTTCCTTCCTTCCTTCCTTCCTTCCTTCCTTTCTCTCTCTTGCTCTCTCTCTCTCTCTCTCTGTCATGGGGCTTGAACTCTGGGCCTGAGTGCTGTCCCTCAGCTCTTCAGTTCAAGGCAAGCGCTCTACCACTTGAGCCACAGCGCCACTTCTGGTTTTCTGGTGGCTTATTGGAGATAAGAGCCTCACGGACTTTCCCGGCCAGACTGGCTTTGAACCCCGATCCTCAGATCTCAGCCTCCTGAGTAGCTAGAACTACAGTCAGGAGCCACCATTGCCAGACATCTGTAAGTCCTTTATTTTGGGTGCCGCCAAAGTCCCTGAAATGCATACCATACTCCCTTACTCCCCCACCGAAGCTACCTGCTTGGGATAGCAACACCTGTTTAAACCTCACATCACTGAGGTGAAACCCAAATTAGCATCTGACCTTCAAAGTCCTTTATAGTCTGGCTCCCACTGGGCTCTCTCATCTCATTTCCCACACTGCCTTTCCCTATACCCACCCCTGCAGCCCTACAGAATTTCTCATTCTTCCTCCAGCTCCACTTTTTAATTATTTATTATTTTGTGCCAGCTCTGGTGCAAACCCCAGTGCAACACTGCTGTGCAACACAGGGCCCGGGCTTATTCACTCTACCACTTGAGTCCCAGCTCCACTTCTGGATTTTTAGTGGTTACTAGGAGATGAAGGGTCTCACAGACTTTCCTGCTGGGGCTGGCTTCAATCTGTGATCCTCAGATCTCAGCCTCCTGCATAGCTAGGATTACAGATACCCTGCTAACTACTTTCATTTGGTAGTTTCTGCCTAACAGGCTATTTGGTCTTCAATATGGAGCCATTTCCTGAGAGCCCAGGCAGACATGGTCATGATCTCTGTCCAAATGAGGTGCATTGCGTACTTCCAAGGTTTTCTCCCTGGCTCTTAATACCAGGACCAGCTAGCCTGACAAACATTGGTTAGTGGAGAAAATAAATACCTGACTTTTCTATCTTATTGCTAATGCTGTTCCCTTCCCAAAGACTGTGAGCCATGCACAGCGTCAATCTTGAACAATATGAGACAAGGACAGATGTTTAGCCGTGTTATCTCATGTCATTCTACAACACAGGTGCTCACATTTCCATTTCACAGAGGAGAAAGAGAGGTTCGGAGAGGGCCAATCACTGCTCACAGGTGGGAGTTGGCGCCGTCAGGATTAGAATGAAGGTTATCTTCTTCAATGCCTGAGCTCTCTGGGCTGCGCTGGATGAGCGACACAGCGACCTACAAGGGGCAGCAGGATCCAGACTTCCTGGGAACTCTCATTCTGCCTCTTAAACTTGTGGCTGAGAGACTGGAAAGGTGGCATCTCCATCGGATGACAATGGCAGGCTGAAAGCCTGGGACCCTTCAAAGAACCTCTGATCCTGAAACTTCGCCCTCTGGCCTCAGAACAGGCACCTAGTCAAAAAGTTCTCTGACTGATGGCTAAGCCTTTCATCCCAAGTAGAATGGTATAAGGGGAGAAAAACAGCCCTTGACTTTCTCATTCTGCCCACCTTATAAATGGCCCAGGGAAAATACTTGGAAGAAATGCCAGACATTGTGCTAGGTGCCTGCTCCTTACACATTGTCTCTGACTCCCAGTATCCCTGACAACTGTATAATTTCTATTTTACACACAAATTAATTGAGGCCCAATGAAGCTACTAGGTGAGAGTTCAAGGTCAGCCAGTAACTATATATACCATGCATACTAAAACCAAGCTAACCACCAGGCTAAGTTTCCTTCAAACCCTCCCTGGAAAATCCCCAGAGAACAAAAGTCCCTCACCCAGCCCATCATGCCACCTTGGTCCCAGAAATTACTAAATTCTTATAAGTCAGCTGACTCCATATGTAATATGAGAGGAGCTTCAAAACTTTTCTTGCCCTTTGCCCCAAACATTCATTCTAGATGGAGAAGAGATTCCAGGGAGGAAGTATGGGAAGAACAGCAAAATTAAAAAGACCAAAAGAAATTATTTTCACAGACCTCTCCACCAAAATTGAATTATTAATTGCAAAAACACCTGGAAGCAATTCAACTTTACATGAATCAAGGGACACAAGCATTCGCTGGCGCCAGTGGCTCACAGCTGTGATCCTAGCTATTCAGGAAGCTGAGATCTGAGGATCGCGATTTTAAGCCAGCCTGAGTAGGAAAGTCTGTGAGACTCTTATAGCCACTAAAAACTACTCAAAAAAGCCTGAAGTGGAACTGTAGCACAAATTGTAGAGCCCTTGCCTAGAGCACCAAAGTTCAGGGACAGCACCCAGGCCCAAGGGCAAGTCCCTGGGCTGGCAAAAACAAAAAAATAAAAAAAACACATAGTTGCTGTATATTTAAAATAAATACAAGGCTGGGAAGTGGCTCAGTGGTAGAGTGCTTGCCTGGCATGCATGAGGGCTTGGGTTCAATTTCTCACCACATAAGCAGCAAAGGCCAGAAGTGATGCTGTGGCTCAAGTGGTGGAATGCTAGTCTTGAGCTAAAAAGCTGAGGGACTGCACCCAGGCCCAGAGTTCAGGCCCCATGACTGACAAAATAAATAAATAAAATAAAATAGATACAAAATAAAATTTATTTAGCCAGGCACCAGTAGCTCACACCTGAAATCCTAACTACTCAGGAAGCTGAGATCTGAGGATCGCAGTTCAAAGCCAGTCCAGGCAGAAAAGTCTGTGAGACTTATATTCAATTAACCATCAGAAAACTGGAAGTGGCACTGTGGCTGAAAGTGGTAGAGTGTTAGCCTTGAGCAAAGGAACTCAGTGACAGCACCCAGGCCCTTGAGTTCCAGCCCCATGAATGAACAACAACAAAAAAACACTTCGTTTTTATTCAGAAATTGTCTGGACGAGCTTTACCCATGCCACTTCCCTTTTAAAAATTTATAGATCAGTGGGGCTGTTTCTTTTTTGTGAACTTTAGTGTACAGCCCAGGCTGGCCTGCCATTTTTGATTCCTCTGGCTTCAGTTTCTCTTTTGCTGAAATCATTTTTTTTGTCCTAGTATAGGGGCTTGAACTCAGAGCTTAAGTGCTGTCCCTTTGCTTTTCAATCAAAGCTGGAGCTTCCTCTTTTCTTTAATATTTTTTATTGTAAAAATATTGTACAGAGATGTTACAGTTACATGAGTAAAGGAATGAGTACCTTTTTCAATCGAGCATTGTTACCTCCTCCTTTGGGAACTCTGTCTCTTAAGTCATGGCTCCACTTCCAGCTTTTTGACAGTTCATTGGAGATAAGAGTCTCATGCATTTTTCCTACCCAGGCTGACTTCTAATTGGGGTCCTCAGAATTCAGCTTCCGGAATATGTTGGATTACAGATATGAGCCACCAGCACCCAGCTTCAAATGATTTTTGATAAAGCCATTTATGCAGTGACAGTTCATGCACATAGCACCTACAGTAAGTCTAAAGACATAAGGCAATATTCAGTAGAGCAGCACCAGTAACCTAGGACAACCATTCATTCCAGAAAATTCACTGAAGAGAACAGAGATGCCACCTGTTCTATGGTTATATGGATCCGCTTTTCCCCACACGGCTCTGAAAGAAAAGGTTAAAAAATATAAAACCTAGGACATACAATTCACACCATTTCAGAGCCTCTTGGCTAGGGCTGTCTTTATCAAGTCTCTCTTGCTGTGGTGGAGAAAACACAACTGAATTGGTGAGGGGAAGCCATCAGCCAAAGGTGGAAAGAAGGAAAGCTGGTGGTGTAAGAGAAAACTGCTGCTTACCTGGTCTTCCAAGACTTGCTGGTGGCCTTAAGGCTTGCTCTGGGCTCTGAAGCAGGTGCCTAGGGACTGTGGCCAGTGAGTGCCAGGTGGGAGAGGCTATGGCTGCCCTCGGTGCATATAAGCCCAGCTTCCCGTCTGCTGGGAAGGGCAGAGAGCAAGCCACTGCAGCTCTGACTTGACTGGGAAAGGGAGCCAGCAAGGGCGGGGCAGGGCCACGTGGCCCAGCTTGCCTTGGAGTGTGGAGTAGGAAGAAATCTTACACCCAGAAGACAGAATCAGCCAGGGGACAGTTCTTACTGTTCGGTAAATATCACAAGCAACCAAGCTGTGATTTCCAGCCCCTCTCCAGGATAGACAGCCCAACTTCGAACAAAACTGGACACAGCTATTGCTGGGATCATGTGCACGTGTAGAGCATTTAGATGGAGAAAAGATCTAATACATAGATTACAGCTGAGGGCTGTGAAATAACCCAGTCTCCCTGAGCTCAGAGAGGCAACATATTGTACCCCCAAATCCACAGCTGGTTATTGAAGTCTAATTCTAGAGCCTGTGGGAACTTCTGGAGGCAGGAGCCAAAGTCTTCCTTCAGCTGCACCTGCAAAAGACACAGCCCCTACCCCTAACCACCCTCCCCTCCCCGCATGCTTTACCTGATCACCATGACTAGTCTGAGGGATCTAACAGAGCAGAGCATTATGGGGTTCACAGGTGGAGCCCCATAACTTCCCAGATTTCACCATTCTATATTTAGAGAGGATAAGAGTCGCCAACTCTGGTCTCCTAACGGAACCTTCAGCTCCTCCCCTGTGGCCTTCACAAAGGAGCCAGGGGAGGGGATGTCTGTTTGTAGTGTTCCCTTGGGAAAGGAGCACAGAACCCTTCTTCAGGGACCCATTCCTTGACATCTAAGGCTCCACAGAACATCTAGAACTCTGTGAATGCAGACCTCAACCTAGACATGAGAGCCTGCCCTATCGGAAATGTCAATGAATGTAGTGGTTCAAGAAATGCTTTCTTAATTGATAGTAAACTAGATTTCCTGACCTTGCAGCTGGACAATATGCCCACGCTGGAATGTACCCGGCTAATCCCCCACGCCCTTTCCCAGTAGTGGTCACTCTGGCCACACCCTCTGGGAGACACTGCCAAGAGCTCTGCCAAGGCTGATCCAAGTCAGGCAGCTCGTGGGAGGGAGGGCAGAGGCGGCTAGATGAGATGGAAACACAGCCACAGGACTTCACTGGGGCCTTGTGAAGCTGGCACACATCCCACTGTGCCCTCTCCGGATCCCTGGTCTCAAAGCATCCCTATATATCAGGATAAAGGCAGCCTCAGGCCTCCTAGGACCATACCCCTCAAAATACTCAGCGCTCAGTTACTACGGCATCCCTAGCTCATCTGACTCCATGTCCAGTGCTCTTCTTTCCTCCCTGGAATTGGGCAGATGGAGGGAGTCTTGTTTCTGGTGGCTATAACAGCACCAGACTTTAACAACCCACAGTAAATATTAATACTTTTCCTGGCTATCACGTTACTAGTTTACCACAAAGGAGCTTGGAAAACAACTCTCCCCAAATGACATCAAAAGCACTTTTATAATGTTGTCACCCCTCACTTCCCCCCACCCCCATTCCCACACTGGAATATCAACTCTGGGCCTTGTGCTTGCTAGGCAGGTACTCTACCTACCATTTGAGCCATCCTCCATTCCTTTTTTTGCTCTGGTTATTTTCCATGTAGTCTGGAGTTTTTAAGCAGGGCCAGCCTTGAACCCTGGTCCTTCCACCTATACCTTCCACATAGCTAGTAGCACAGACACACACCACACTTGGTTTGTTGTTGAGATGGAGTCTGTTTGCCCAAGCTGGTCTTGAACCAGGATTCTCCTAAACATTACCTAAAGTAGTTAGAATAGTTATGTCCCACCACATCTGGCCCTCATTCCAAGATGTGTGCAGAAGAGGGTTGTAGTCTTGTGGGTTGCAATAGTAAGGCAGTCACCTTAGTGGCTGGGAATTTAGGATTCCAAATCTAGGTATTGAACACAGTCCTTCGCCATTCAGCTACATCCAGCCTCTTTTCTAAAACTGTTCATTCATTTCCAAACTTGGTTTCTTTGATATTTTTGTTGGTTCATTCTTTTTTTTTTGGGGGGGGGGGGGTCCGGTTGTGGGGCCTGAACTCTGGGCCTGGGCGCTGTCCCTCAGCTCTTCAGCTCAAGGCTAGCACTCTACCACTTGAGCCACAGTGCCACCTCCGGCTTTTTTTTTCCCCTTTTTTGCTTAGGTGGTGCTGAGGAATCAAACCCAGGGCCTCATGCATGCAAGGCAAGCGCTCTACCACTGAGCCACCTTCCCAGCCCCATGTTGGTTCATTTTTTTTTTTTTTTTTGGTCGGTCATGGGGCTTGAACTCTGGGCCTGGGCGCTGTACCTCAGCTCTTCAGCTCAAGGCAAGCGCTCTACCACTTGAGCTACAGGGCCACTTCCGGTTTTCTAGTGGTTTATTGGAGATAGGAGTCTCACGGTCTTTTCTGCCCGGGCTGGCTTTGAACCGCGATTCTCATATCTCAGCCTCCTAAGTAGCTAGGATTACAGGCGTGAGCCACCGGCGCCCGGCCTTGGTTCATTCTTAAAAGCAACAAAATTCCCTCCCTCTCCATCACAGCTAGTGATTTCCACGTGTGACCGCTTACACCACTTTGAAAAGTATTCTGCATCTTTTTTTTTTTGGTGGGGGAGGGCCCTGGGGTTTGAATTTGGGACTTTGTGCTTCCTAAGCAAGTACTCTGTCACTCGAGCCCCAGATTGAGAAATATTTAAAAGCAAGATTTTGGGGGGGAGGGGTGCGGGGGGGGGCGGTCATGGGGCCTGAACTCTGGACCTGAGCACTGTCCTTCAGCTCTTCAGCTCAAGGGGAGTGCTCTACCACTTGAACCACAGCACCACTCCCAACCTTTTCTGCTTATGTGGTGCTGAGGAATCAAACCCAGGGCCTCATGCATGCCAGGCAAGCACTCTACCACTGAGCCACCTTCCCAGGCCCCAAAGCAAGATTTTTTTAGTAAGACCAGGATTCTATCCTTATACAAACCATTTTGATAGCCAACTGGGATAAGGGTTAGCACTACAGGTTTTGTTTTTTTCCCACTTCCTGACATGTTTTAGCTATTTTACCCCCTCTTCACCTTCTCTTTCAGACTCAAGACCTTTGGGGTTTTTGTTGTTGTTTTTCCTTAAAGTCCCAAGCTATGTTTGATCTGCAGGTATCAGACATGGGCCTTAGGCTCTTCTGAAACTCACGGTCGTATGCTCTAGCATTCAACTTGACATCTTCAACAGGGATAAAGATGGCCAGTTTATTAATACCCTTGTCCAACCTGTGGGTTTAGTTGCCTAAACAGTTCTTGCAGCTGGCAAGTCTTATGATGGATGGTGGCTTTCCAAGCATCTCAAGGAATAGCTGGTGCGTGCACTGGTTGACTAATGATGCTCTGACACTGTGGTAGTGTACCAGCTGACCTCATTCACTTACACATTATGAGCCCTTCATGTTATAGGTCCCCAAATATAAATCAACCATGGCCAACCAGGCATGATCCCTTACCATGTGTCCCCAACTGAGCCATCTATTGCCCCCATGCTGTCTTTTTGGGCCAGTTTTTATTTTAGGAGACGTTTCTTCTGAACCCTGGGCAGCCAGCCTTTGGAAATTTTAAGGATGTAATAAGCTTAAAAATATACACATATAAAAAATATACACATTTATTTTCTATGCAAACAAGCAAGTGACTCATGTAAACACACGACGCTTCTACTCCAAATAGGAAACCGAATTAAGGAATTGACAGAAACTGACAGAAATTGATTCCCATCAGTAGATGCCTTGGCATTTCTAGCTCCCCTCTTCATCTGAGAAAGATCCCTGCTTTTCTCTTCTGAACAGGCATCCTTTACACTGGCACTCTTATTAGTCAGGAGACAAGAGTGCCCTTCTCAGTCCTAACAGCTGTTCTGCCAACAATACTTTTACACAAACCTAGAAAAGCAACATTCCACTCACAGTCCAATTTGAACCCCCTCCCCATGAAGAATGCTATTCTTGGCAAGAGATCTTCCGAAGGAAACAACATCTGCAGAACCTCTGTCTGTGAGGTCAGAGGAAAGCTGAGGCAGCTGAGAAGTTTTTGGTCCTCTTAGATCCAAGTCACAGGGGCTTCACAGAACAGGATCAGAGCAAACCTAATAACTACAGGCAATGTCTCAGGGTCCTGACATGACCCCTCCTTGCAGCTTCCCAACAGACTTTGAGAGGCCAGGGAATGTTCTGGGTTTTTTGTTGTTTTGTTTTTTGTCAGTCATGGGGCTTGAACTCTGGGCGCTATCCCTGAGCTCTTCAGCTTGAGGCTGGCGCTCTACCACTTGATCCAAAGCGCCACTTCTCCCTCTACCTTTTATTCAGTTAAACCAAAGGAGCCAATCCAATTTCCTAAATTACACAAAAGAACTTGTAATTCAGATTAGCTAATCACTAAATATTGCTAAGACCTTTTATAGGTCCTGAGGCAGTAGCTCTGAAAAAAACCAAATTCCTCCTCTAAGCATATTCAAGCCCGGTTCCTTCCAACTGTACTCCAAAAATTTCACTTGCCAGAGCTCTTCATCTGCTGCCAGAGAACCAGCAAACCGAAGGCAAACTGCAGTGAGAGCTCTGCAGGGACAATTCCTGGTACTATACAGAGACCAAGTTTCCCTTCCTTATATAACGTCTGATACTATAGGAAGAGCACATCTGTTAAAGATGGAAGGAAGGAAGCCAGGAACAAAGAGTCATTGCTCAACTGGGCTGTTTGTAAGCATCACACATTTTGATAGAATGGATTTAGAGCCTCAGGAAAAAATGAGCCTTGAAATGAGGTTTCCCAAATGCAATTCAATTGTACTGACTCCTATGCAAATTCATGAACTCAGTGAGGGAAAATGTTACACAGGGACTCAATTCCTAGCAAAATCTACTGGGTCTATTGTGATCTAGAACCAATATAGATACTTAATTCCAATAGAATGGTGTATAATGCTCTCCTCTCGTTGCTGGATGGTGGGCTGCAGTCGAAGGTTGTATCTCATCACCTGATTCTTACACCGGTGCTAGCTGCAGAGAACTTGCTCAGTTTG